GAGCTCCAGTCGTCCTCCACCACCAGCACCCGGTCTGACCATGCGCGCGTGCCGGCAGCCGCCCGGCGCCGGTTCTACCGGTCGGTGGGTGTGGCCGGCGCCGACGGCCAGTTCGAGGTGAGCCTGGACCAGCGCAAGCTGAAGACGCCCGGCGGCCGCCTGCTGCAGCTGCCCAGCCGGCCTCTGGCGCTGGCCGTGGCACACGAGTGGGAGACCGTGGCCGAGCACATCCAGACCAGTCAGATGCACGTGGTGAGCTCCAGGGCGACAACATTGGCCGCCGGCCATTTTAGTTAGTCTCAAATACCTTGCCTCTGTAACCGAAATAGGGACAACCACATGGATGTCACTCTAACCAGACGTTTCGAATCGATGTGGATGGCCGCTCTAGAATTATGGCATCTGAGGTGACAGTTACCAGTATTTGTTCTGGACCACTCAGTGCGCGTGGCTCGGTCGACTGTGTCCGGAGCACGCTGTGTCATTCCGTCGGCTGTGTCCAGAGCGCACCGTGTCGCTCCGTCGGTTGTGTCGGGAGCACGCCGTGTCGTTCCGTCGGCTGTGTCGGGAGCACGCCGTGTCGTTCCGTCGGCGTTGTCGGGAGCACGCAGTTTTGTTCCGTCGGTTGTGTCGGGAGCACGCCGTGTCGTTCCGTCGGCTGTGTCGGGAGCACGCCGTGTCGTTCCGTCGGCGTTGTCGGGAGCACGCAGTTTTGTTCCGTCGGTTGTGTCGGGAGCACGCCGTGTCGTTCCGTCGGCTGTGTCGGGAGCACGCAGTTTTGTTCCGTTGGCTGTGTCCGGAGCACGCCGTGTCGTTCCGTCGGCTGCGTCGGGAGCACGCCGTGTCGGTGTCGATGGCGGCCGGCCGGCGGTCGGTGTACCGCCCCGACCTGCCTCACCGCGTCCCTCGCGCCGCCGGCAGACGGGCCTCTGCTTCACCGTGCTGGACAACCCACACCGGAGGACGGACGTCGACCTGGCGCGCAAGATCGCCGGCTACCTCGACACCGACACCGTCCTCTTCCCTGTCGAGGTCAGCCGGGCCGCCCCCTCCGCCACCCGAAGCAGGGGGGAGGACGCTGTCGTCGTTAGTGGGGACGGTTGGTGTAGCTGGTTGGATGGAGCGTTCGCCTGGGGCCGCGCGCAGAGGTTGCGTGCCGCTGGCAGTGTCGTTGCTTGCCGTCGTGATCTGCGTGATAAATTGCCGCGCTGAATCAACTTGGATGCTCCGTTAAACCCATAAAATTATTAGCACTGTTGCCGCCTGAAGTCTCTTTTCAAGCCCTGATTTGATGTTTTTTTGTTGTGAGCACAATGTTACCAGCACGTTTCGGAATTTAAACTTGATTTAAACGTTGATCTAAGAGTTTAACCCAACTTTCCCGCCACTATGAGGCTGGCCATCCACCGCGATTGATAACTTCATGATAACTTCACGAGAAGCGCCAGCTCGCCGTCGCACGCCACCACATGTCAATGCGTGGTGGGTGGGCCACACGTATGATGTCACAATGAAGTTACTCCGCCGCAGCTGCCGGCAGAGCTGGCCGAGATCCAGCGTCGCGAGTGGGGCGCCGTGCTGCAGTGGCTACGTCACCGGTTCGACGTTGCTATCGAGCCGTCCGAGCCCGGCTCCCTGGTCTCCACCGTGCCGCCGGAGACGGCGGAGACGCTGCAGGTACGGCGGCGGCGGGGAGGGGGACGCTGGGACACGTTCCTGGAGCTGTGACGCGGGTGTTGACCTGTGGGGGTGCGCCGGCGGCCCGGAGGTGCGGCGGCGTTGTGGTGGTGACGCTCTCAGGGTGTCGGTGCGGCCCGGATGATGTGGCGGGCGCGGTGCTGCGCCGTCGGAGAGGGGTGGTGGCTGCGGATGCTGTGCGCGTCCGCCGATGTTGTCCCGTGCGGACAGACCGACTGGCGCGCAAGGCCGTTGGTTACTGGGCGAGGTGTTGTCTGATGACAAGACTGGATAAGTATGCGTTTTCTGCTTTTGGTATGGAGCTTAATAAGTCGTGGAAGATCGACTGAGGGTACAGTACATGGTGTTGTGCCTGTGATTGGTTTCACGCGTGCAGCTGGAGTCTGGTAAAGGCAGGCGAACTTTTCATATCCGGAGCTATCACGCTGTCGTCGAAGGTCAGTTGTGGCACTCTATGGAATGTATTGCTCCGTTTGATATATTATTAGATTATATGATAACTCAACAAATGCTTAAATTATATGCTGAGCCATTTGCAGTGGATAAGGATCACTGTAGTCCCTTTGGTATCAATCGTCACTCTTGCGACGAGTCTTCAGGTCAACAAAGCTGGATGTCCGGCCTCTCCGCGTCACGGCTCGTGCGTCGCAGTTATACGCCTTGTGGTGCCCGGCGGCTGCGCCGCGCCGCCCCAGCTGGTGTTGTCTTTCATTCTGTTGGATCGTGCCGAACCGCGCCACACTGTGCCGCCAGCAGGGGTGTGTCAAACTGTGACGCCGTCGTGCTGTTCTCTGTTTTGGTCAGCATTGTGGTCATTATGGGTTATACTATACTGCTGTCATCAGCTATTCTCTGTTTTGGTCAGCGTTGTGGTCAGTGTGCCATGCTATGCTGCTGTCGTCATCTGTTCTCTGTTTTGGTTGGCATTATCAGTGTGTCATACTATGCTGCTGTCATGAGCTGTTCTCTGTTTTGGTCAGCATTGTGGTCAGTGTGTCATACTATGCTTCTGCCATCAGCTGCTTTCTGTTTTGGTCAGCATGGTCAGTGTGTCATACTATGCGGCTGTCGTCAGCTGTTCTCTGTTTTGGTTAGCATTGTGGTCAGTGTGTCATAATATGCCGCTGTCATCAGCTGTTTTCTGTTTTGGTCAGTGTTGTGGTCAGTGTGTCATACTATGGTGCTGTCTTCAGCTGTTTTCTGTTTTGGTCAGCATTGTCAGTGTGTCATACCATGCTGCTGTCATCAGCTGTTCTCTGTTTTGGTCAGCATTATCAGTGTGTCATACTATGCTGCTGTCGTCGCTGTTTTCTGTTTTGGTCAGCATTGTGGTCAGTGTGTCATGCTATGCTGCTGTTGTCAGCTGTTTTCTGTTTTGGTCAGCATTGTGGTCAGTGTGTCATACTATGCTGCTGTCGTCATCTGTTTCTACCAGCGTCGCTGTCAGAACCCGTCATGCTGTGTTGTCCCTCTGACCTTCTCCGGCTGTCCGCAGCGGTATCTCTCCACACACAACACGTGGGCCCTGACCGGTCTGCTGTTTGCCATCGAAGCCGTCCGGTCGACGGTGCTGCCTCTGGCGGCGCTGGAGCGCAAGCTCTCGCCGCAGGAGGTGGTACGGCTCTCCAGGCTGGAGGCCGACTATCAGGTGCGCAGGAGACGGAGCGCCGGCGGCCATGCGGTCACGTGCCGCCGACTCAGGGCTGCCGTAAACCATCTGCTCTTGGCCAGTTTCCTCAAACGCAAGGGTATAAACCATAATAGGCGCATTTAAGTTTCGTGATGTCGGCGTGCTATGATCAAACCCAATTTGCTGAACTGTTAGCCGAAATGTAGTTGGTGCCTTTCTAGTCGCCCTTTTAAAAACTGATAAGGGTGTAAGATTTTTGAGAGCTGTAAAGGTGGCCTGCGCGGGACGGGTGTTGTGCAGCGTGCAGGGGTCTGGCCGGCCCCCGTCTCCCGTGCTGCATGGACGCCGTACGACCATTGAAGTGCGTGCGCCCGAAAGCCCAAATTATCGCCCTGTGCCATGCCGCCGTCCCGTGTCTTTGCGCCTCTGGTCTGACGGGTGGCCGTCTCCCGTGCCTCAGTCCCGTGTCTTTGCGCCTCTGGTCTGACTGGCGGCCGTCTCCCGTGCCTCAGTCCCGTGTCTTTGCGCCCCTGGTCTGACGGGTGGCCGTCTCCCGTGCCTCAGTCCCGTGTCTTTGCGCCTCTGGTCTGACTGGCGGCCGTCTCCCGTGCCTCAGTCCCGTGTCTTTGCGCCCCTGGTCTGACTGGCGGCCGTCTCCCGTGCCTCAGTCCCGTGTCTTTGCGCCCCTGGTCTGACTGGCGGCCGTCTCCCGTGCCTCAGTCCCGTGTCTTTGCGCCCCTGGTCTGACGGGTGGCCGTCTCCCGTGCCTCAGTCCCGTGTCTTTGCGCCCCTGGTCTGACGGGTGGCCGTCTCCCGTGCCTCAGTCCCGTGTCTTTGCGCCTCTGGTCTGACGGGCGGCCGTTTCCCGTGCCTTAGTCCCGTGTCTTTGCGCCTCTGGTCTGACTGGCGGCCGTCTCCCGTTTCTCAGTCCCGTGTCTTTGCGCCCCTGGTCTGACGGGTGGCCGTCTCCCGTGCCTCAGTCCCGTGTCTGTGCGCCTCTGGTCTGACTGGCGGCCGTCTCCCGTGCCTCAGTCCCGTGTCTTTGCGCCCCTGGTCTGACTGGCGGCCGTCTCCCGTGCCTCAGTCCCGTGTCTTTGCGCCCCTGGTCTGACGGGTGGCCGTCTCCCGTGCCTTAGTCCCGTGTCTTTGCGCCTCTGGTCTGACTGGCGGCCATCTCCCGTGCCTCAGTCCCGTGTCTGTGCGCCTCCGGTCTGACGGGCGGCCGTCTCCCGTGCCGTAGCCCCTCGTCTTTGCGCCTCTGGTCTGACGGGCGGTCGTCTCCCGTGCCGCAGGCGCGGGTCTGGGGACGAGTGGAGTGGGCGCACGACGTGGACAGCCTGGACACGGAGGCGCGCGTCTCTGCCGGCCTGCTGCTCGCCCACCTCTGCACGGCCACGTCACACTCGGTCCGACAGAAGGAGCGCTCGGCCTGACTGCTCCGACCCCCCCCCCCCCCCCCCGCTGTCCGGCTCGGCTGGCGCTCTGGCGGCGTATGACGCCCCCCCCCGGTCTGACCTCGTCTGACCCTGCCTGACCCGGTGCGCCGCCGGCTGCGGCGGTGGAGGGCGCCGGGAGAGTGGTGGACGGGTTCTAGGCCAGAGCGGGGGCCGGAGCGTCCTGGTGGTCCCGTACGGGAGTGTGTGTTCCGTGTCTCTGCGCCTGACACACTCCGTGCTCGGGGTCAGGTTTATTACACGGCGTTCACGGCTGAATCGCGTACAATAAATAGTGTTACAATGTGCACTACATTGTGCTCCTTTCGAAGCAAACATTCAACAATGGTGACGGCCGCGCGCCGCCGTCTCGGCCGCTGCACATGTTGAGGTCATGGAGTCAACTGGGGCCGCGACCCCGCGACGTCAGACGGTCGGTGACATCCAACGCAGGGAAACACGGAACGCGAGCCTTGGAAACGGACAGATTCGTCTTGCACGTCACCTAGCAGGAAAGACCATGAACAAAGACTTCAGGTGTACAACTTATATTATGGAAGACGTAAGGAATGTTTGGCCTCTTTGTGGATTTAGTCGCAGTCCGACATGGTCGCGGGGCGTGGCCGGCCTGGAGCAGAGGCCTGATCGCGAACTTTATGAAATCTCCCACACGTCATCGGTCGGTGGCGATCCGGACGTCTGCGTCCAGGCCGTCGGCGACCATTCGCAGGTCGCTGTAGTCACACTGTCACCCACTGCAGTCACTCTGTCGCCACACTGTAGTCGCACTGTCCTCTCACTCTCGCCCTTCGGAGCGATGGACGCTTCGTGCGAGAGTTTCTGTTTGGTACAACAGCCTCTTTTGCGAATCGGCATCTATTCCTTGATCACTTCGATGTAGTCCTCGGCCTCGATACCCTCCGCCCTCTTCCTACTCCGCGCCTGGATGCCAGTGTACGGCCGGTACGCAGTGATGGACTGAATCCAGGGCAGGTACTCGTTCACCTGGCGGAAAGGGAGCGTGGTCACCGAGCTGAACACGAGGGAAATCTGTCGATCTCGCATGGTGAGTCCTCGCAAAACCCCGCAAAGCTCTGGTGGCAAGTTCTCGCAAAGCTCGGCAAGGATGGCAAGTGGCGCGGCACGGCGCGGTGGCAAGTTCTCGCAAAACTCCGCAAGGATGGCAAGTGGCACGGCACGGCGCGGTGGCAAGTTCTCGCAAAACTCCGCATGGTTCTGGTGGTGAGTTCTCGCAGAGCCTGCAAGGCTTTGGTGGCGAGTTCTCGCAGAGCCCCGCAAATCACGCACGCGCTTGAATCCGAAACGTCAAAGTGTTGACATCGCCGTAAAGATGTGGTACTTCTGGGTGCTCCTTTTGTAACAACGTTGGCTAAGCGGCATCGTTTCTTACCGTGTCCTCGGACAAATTTGGGAGCATACGGGTGAAACATTACACGGCATTGAAACATTATGAAACATTGCTACATGTTCTTTGTGTGTAACGCTGCATATCACGCGGCTTCAGCGGCAGCATGCATCAGCGTGGCTTTTACGCCGGTTTGGGGCCAGCTCCAAAACCGCCTGCCACAGGCTGCTGCGCTGTCGCTATGACGCGTCGAGATTGTCCGGCGGAGGCCGGTAGCCCGCGGCGGCCGCGGTACGCACCTTGACATAGACGCCGGGCACGTCTCGCTGGCCGCAGCCGACGCCCCAGGACACGATGCCGGCGAGGTAGTAGGAGCCGGCCTGCTCGCACACAAGCGGTCCGCCGCCGTCTCCCTGCCGGTCACGGGTCAGAGGTCAGAGCACGCCAGGGCAGGGGTCAAGCGGGGCCCGAGGCTGGGCAGACCAGCAGACCAGCAAACCAGGCCAGCAGAGTTTTCAGGACGCGGCTCAGCGTCCGGGTCTCAATCAGCATAATAGACCCCGCCAGCGTAACCTGACCTCTGACCTCTCACGGATCGGATCTTCCAGATCTGGACGCACGACAGCCGCGAGGGTGCGGTAACATTTTCTCGTAGTTTTCTGGTTAGGAACTCCGGCAGGCTATGCTGGCCGCACAGCCGGCACCATGGTGGCGCGCCGGAGCGGCCCGAGGCCTGCCGAGTCGGAGCGACCCGAGGTCCACCGAGTCGGAGCGGCCCGAGGCCTGCCGAGTCGGAGCAACCCGAGGCCTGCTGAGTCGGAGCGGCCCGAGGCATGCCGAGTCGGAGCGACCCGAAGCCTGCCGAGTCGGAGCGGCCCGAGGCCTGCTGAGTCGGAGCGACCCGAGGCCTACCGGCTCGGAGCGGCCCGAGGCCTACCGGCTCGGAGCGGCCCGAGGCCTACCGGGTCGGAGTGGCCCGAGGCTGCGAGCGAGCGGGTGGCGTGCTGGCTCACCTTGCAGGCGTCCTTGCCCTCCTCTCCGCCGGCGCACAGGAAGCCACTGTGCAGCTGGAAGTCGTAGCCGAGCCGCGTGCGCTTCAGTTTTTGTTCGCAATCGTAGTTGCCCACCACTGGGACGGACACCTGGCGGCCGCGGGACGTAACATTAGTGTGTAGATGGCGGTAGCGGTGGTCCTGCCTGACACCGGCGGTTGGCGGTTTTGACTACCGCCTGGTGTTGTCGGTGCGTGACTATGGATTGGTGCATGGCTTGAGGGTCAAAATTTATTCAAAGCTGTCACTTTCTCAGAAACACCGTCATGATTTGCTACACTTGTTAGCGTCTTTTACGCGGTGTCGCCGAGAACGGGACCGTTGCCCCGGCCGGGACCGTGAAGCAGCAGAAGAGCCTCACCTTCTTCAGCACGTTCTGGAAGTTGCCGAAGTCTCCAAAGGCATCCTTTCCCCAGCCGGAGGTCCAGCAACGCTGGTTGGTGAAGTCGGCGTACTGTGGCGGGATGCACACCGGTCCCACGTGCAGACTGCGGCGGGGCAACGTCAGGTCAGGTCAGGTCAGCCTGAGAGCGCCGTCCGCCAGGTCATAATCCAATCACTCGGGGAAGGAAACGGTGTCGTCAGCGCTAGACTATTGACTAGAAGCACGCATTCACGCTCGTGCCGCGTCCTTCCGCGTGTCGCAAGCCGCCCGTTTCCCTTTCGGTGGCTGTGCCAAACTGGGCGTGACTCCCCAGGCTTTGGCTGATTCGACAAGCTGGCGGCTTCCGACTGCCGCCCTCCCGCCACTCACTTGTACACGGTGTCGACGGGGCTGGCCAGCTTCAGGATGGCGATGTCGTTGTGCAGGTTGCCGCCGTAGAACTCCGGGTGGATGTAGATGCCCGACACGTCCTTCTCTACGTGCGGATAGAACTCGGTCTCGTGGTTGACGTCCCATTCACCCAGGCGAATGCGCAGCGCGTACGGATCGTAACTGAAAAGAACCGGACTGATAAAAGAACCATGCAGCGGGGTCGTAATTGAAAAGGACTGAACTTATCAGCGAGGTACGTCGATCTGGGCTCACCGAAGCCTCTTGCCGGTCAGTGGATAATGCGGGCCATGTACTGGGCTGTTCCTCACATTAGTTGCATCTGGGACGAGCCGTGTCGTCCTTGTTATACACGCGCCTTGCATTTTGTATGTCTTCATGCTTTTTGGGGTATGTTTTGGAGCATCCTCTCTGCTGTTATATAGCCCATATCACGGGTGATTGTCTTGACTAGACCCAGAGCATCGAGCGCTCTCACAGATCCCTCCTGCCGATCGTACAAACCCGCTCCCCACACCCTACTTCAGTTGAGAGTTATTGGAGTTCTGCAGTGGGACGAACTGTGTGCTCCAGAACGTATTCAGCCTGCAAATGACTATCAAGGGCTGTGCTTTGCATGCGATATACCAGAAACGTTTCCTCTTTTGTCCTCGTAGTGTTACGAACTTTCTTCCGGAGATGTGGCAGCGCCGATAGGCGAGCGATTTCAGCCGGCTCGTACTCAGAGTGTACCTGAGGGCCGGTGCTGCCCCCAGGGGTAGCAGCGCCGATACGCGAGCGAGTTCAGTCGGCTCGTACTCAGAGCGTACCTGAGGGCCGGTGCTGCTCCCCAGGGGTAGCAGCGCCGATACGCGAGCGGGCTCAGCCGGCTCGTACTCAGCGTTTCTGAGGGCCGGTGTTGCTCCCCAGGGGTAGCAGCGTCGATACGCGAGCGATTTCAGCCGGCTGGTACTCAGGGCGTTCCTGAGGGCCCGTGCTGCTCGCCAGGGGTAGCAGCGCCGGCGTGCGCTCGGCTGTAAGCCTGACGCGGTGTTAACAGCCGTGACAGAGTGTATTCATACACCCGGTCACGGCCGTTAACACGGTCGTGGTGGGCGCACACTGGGCTATGCTTGGCGCGGCTAGGCCACGTTACTACCGCTGTGTCTGGGGTGATGCCGCCCGTTAACACCGCCGTGTCTGGGGCTATGCCGCCCGTTAACAGCCGTGTCTGGGGCGATGCCACCTGTTAACCGGCCGTGTGGGGAGCACGCCGGGCTCCATATCCCCAACCGCCCCCACCAGACGCCCGTTTGGGAGTGAAAGCAGCCGGTGGCGGCGGCGGGCCGCACTGGTGCATGTCGAAAGCACGACACTCCTACAGAGGCTGGGGAGGGACGTGGTGAGGCTTCACGCCGGCAAAGCAGGGGAGGGAAGTGGGGAGGCTACGCACCGGGCGAAACAGGGGATGGGGGGGGGGGGGGGGTAGTTACACGTGTGCTGCTCACGAGTTCACCCATGTGTGTGCTGTTCTGCGAGACAGTATTGTTGGGTTTCAGGCGCTGGATATTGGGCAGAGGTGGTGGGTGGAGATGTCGTGCCATCGGTGAATGTACTTGTCAGTGCAAAACCGGCTTCCGCAACTTTCCCATGGGCCGGAGATTGAGATCAGGATACTTCAACCATGCACCAGTCTGGCTGCTGTTCTCCAGAGACTGAGAGAATGGCAATGTCGACACATGTTAACGACCGCGGGTGTACCCAATGGCGGTGCCGACAACTGCCAACGCCCGTGGCCTACCCAATGGCGGTACCGACACGTGCCAACGCTCTCGGCCGTACCCAATGGCAGTGCCGACACGTGCCAACGCCCGCGGGTGCACCCAGTGGGGCGATGCCGACACGTGCCAACGCCCGCGGGTGTACCCAGTGGGGCGGTGCCGACACGTACCAACGCCCGCGGGTGTACCCAGTGGGGCGGTGCCGACACGTGCCAACGCCCGCGGGTGTACCCAGTGGGGCGGTGCCGACACGGCGCGCCTCGCCTTAATTATGATGTGATGGTGTGATGGGATCCGTGGTGCAGCGTCGCCGGATGCAAGGTACACATGTCAAGCCACGGCGATGACCTGACGGTACGGCCTCGCGGCACTGAGTTGGCGCCGTGCTGCCAGGGGCGTACCTCTTGACGCAGTGGGCGGCCGTCAGGATGTACTCGGTGCCGATCAGGGAGCCGGCACACACGTACACGTTGTCGGCGCCCTCCTTCTTCAGGATGGCCACGTGCCACGGGAATTCACCTGTGGGACAGAGCAGGCTAGAGTAAGTCAGGTCAGGGCTGCAGCCTGGCGGCGGCAAGACGTGGCGATAGCCGACAACCTCGGGTTAGTTGACGCAGCTTGAGCTAGCCTGGATGTAAAGCGCGATATTTTCATGTCTTCGAATGCGTTGTCGTATGCGCGATGCGTTGTTTGCCTGACCTTTTGCAGTCTTAAGCAGTCATCCTAAGTGGAATGCGGTTCGACTGTACGAATGGCTTTTCTAGGCAGACATAAGTATCTACCTGTAAATCTGTGGTGGTGTAAGAGGGTTTTCAGGAACGTAAAACTCGCGGCATAGTGCCATCATAGGGATTGATGGTAGAACTAGATGTTGCCGAAACGCCTTATTATTTCAAGACAACCCATGCCGTCCGAAGTACAGCGATGTGTCCTATCCAGCTTTCTGACGTCACCGCCCCACGAACCACTCACGCCTTCCCTGACGTCACGGAGCTGCCGTCAGCCACTCACCGAACACGGTCTCTCCCTCCCTGACGTCATAGTTCTTGATGCGTCCGTTGACGGCGTCCGTACGACCGACGCCGCAGCTGCCCGGCTGCTGCCTGCCCTGCGAGCCGATGGGGATCGGGTTCCGGCAGCAGACGTCCGTATGGAAGCAGCCGCGATGGTTCGGCTGGTAGCCCAACTGGCGCTGCCAAATGGGAGCGTGACGTCAGTGAGGGGGGAGAGTTGCTGATCATTGTGATCTCAGGCTACCTCCGGACGAAAATTTAGCGGTTAGCACTGCTCGCGTTGCATCGGCGTAACGTTCACGGTCCAGATGAGCTCAGTTCCAAAGCTGACATGCCGACTGATCCTGAGCACTTTTTCCACCTTTTGGATGTAACCAACGCATGAGGTGAAAGCAGCTTTGTGGGGTTCATTGGCCGTGACCACAACTGTTGCTTTATTGACGAACCGACCGTGGCTATCAGTGTTTTCCAATAATTTTCACATTCATTAGGGACTAAGCGACATTGGCACTCGCAGATGCGATACAAAGTGTGGGTGCGTGGCATGCCGGTAGTTGCGTGATGTACCGATAAAGCTAACATAAGACCCAATGCACAAAATATTGCAATGTTGGGTATTGATTGGCGAATTCCAAGGGTTAACATATAAGCAAATGCTCGCACTCGAAGTCGAGGGTCGGAGACTCGACGGCTTGCAGCTGCTTTCGCGTGCAGTGAGACCGCTGAGGTCACAGTGTTATCGCCCAAATGAGGCGAGGACTGATGTCATGTCACAGGTCACAGGTCACCGCTGAGTCACAGGTCACCGCTGTGTCACAGGTCACCGCTGAGGTCACAGTGTTATCGCCCAAATGAGGCGAGGACTGATGTCATGTCACAGGTCACAGGTCACCGCTGAGGTCACAGTGTTATCGCCCAAATGAGGCGAGGACTGATGCCATGTCACAGGTCACAGGTCACCGCTGAGGTCACAGGTCACCGCTGAGTCACAGGTCACCGCTGAGGTCACAGTGTTATCGCCCAAATGAGGCGAGGACTGATGTCATGTCACATAGTTGGTGTGGCTTGCGGAACGAAAAATCCCGAGACCTATCGTCTGTATCTGCACGTCTGTACCGAGACCTATCACTGGATCTAGCAAAGCCTATCAAGGGAGCTTTGCAGTTGGAATGGCATCCCTTATTTTTCATAGTACTTTCTGGAAATCATTAACAGATTCCTTTCAAAACAAGGCTCCCCTACCATTTCGCCGCTTCCGAGGATGACGTGTCGCCTGTAGCCCACGGAATCGGTTTGATCGGTCATCTTTTTCAACTCATGTCATTAAAGTCACTGACCCCAGACGAGCCCACTTCAAGATTACAGCTATGACGTCGGATCAAGGACCGTCAACCGAACCACAAAGCCGTGTGGATCGCACGAGCGCCGATGAACGCCGGTGACGAGGTCGCCCTGGAACGCGTCTGTCGTCACGGCCGACGGCCATCTCCGCGCGCCGAGGCAATGCCGCAAGGAGCGGCCGATAATCCTCCAGCAGGACCACGCACCCCGCCGTCCCGACCGCATCGCCCCCGGGCTTCCCCACCGTGACCGATATAAGAGAGGGGGGCGCAGGCGACCCCCGGCCGAGACACAATCCTCCCGCCGCTCCTCTGTCGTAAGGCTCGATTGAGCAACAACGCCGCACCGTGGGCAGCCGCGGACAAAGCCGCGGCCTCCCGGTGCCGGACAAAGCCGGAGCCGGCCGGCGCCGGACAGGGTCGGAGCCGGCCGGCGCGCGCGCGGGCTGGACGGTTTTTGCGGCGCTGTTGCGACAGTGGTGCAGCTCCGGCGGAAGCAAGCGCGCCGGCCGACCGCCGACGCTAATCGCAGCACCGGGTCACCGGCACGCCAACAGTCCAGGGGAGGCAAGATGAATGCTCAGTTTGGCGGCAACGTGGGAGTTGGGAGGGTCACGCGAGTTGGGGGTCACGAGCGTCGGGAACGGAAGGGGTAAGCTGCTAAAAGGGTGGGGCTGAGTCATGGGAGACGTAGCGATCATAGGACTCAAAGCGGGGGCCGTAATTTTAAATCTGACGGGAGGAGCAATCGAAATTTTAATTGACCGTAGTTTGTGCAATGTTACCCCGCCTCCATGCACGACTTGCAAGTTTTGAGGGCCATGTCATCCCTGTTGGGTGCCATGTTTCGGTAATGCTATAGACATAAGCCATGCGCATGTGGAATGTGTCTGAGTCATGATATTGGTTGCGGGATTAGAGAGCGGGTCGAGATCACACACATGGAGCTTGGGAAGATTGCTGAACGCTGGGCAACCGTCGATTGTCATCCCGTTGTCACCAGGGGGCTATCGATAGCAGCGACTTACAAAGTAAAAAAGACTGGCGCCATGACAGCAACGGGATGTCGCCCATCGTCCCCTGCGAAACGAGAGGACGACCCACTCGTCGCCATCATAAGGGGCTTTCGCATGTGAACAGATGGGGTCACGTGCCTGTACGTGGTAAGTGTCTGTGTTTTGGTGGCTCTAAGTTCGTCGAACTATTCACTCATGCCTGGTGTGCTATGTCGCGATGCAACAACTGCAGCTTGGCAAAGTCGTAACGAATAAGTACGGAGTCCCGCATAAGTCCAGAAGAGTCTCAAAGTTCCGAAGTAATCCGAGTGCGCGCATATTCTGCGTTGCTCGAGTTGCGGATCATTTCGTAGGGGCGCCACGAGCTCAGGAAAAAACACACGCGTATGTCAAGCTGCACGATGGACATGCTGTACGCTGCACACATATCCCCAAATTGCGCTTATATATCCCCAAATTTGGAATGTCCGTTCGGCAAACGCCGGGAGTTCGACGGACGCAACTGCCGGCCATCGTATCCCTCTACTGTAGAACTCAAGCGTACGGCACGGACAGAGCCTAGTGGAGCCATGGGGTGGATCGGCTACGCGTGTCCGCCATTGCTTGATGGGTTCTACGCGTCCGCCGCTGTTTCATTGAGCCGCTTTCATCGACATTCCAGACGGCTTGTCTATCCGTGTTTTGCTCCCACGCCTCAAACAGGGATTCAAAGGACTCTTTTCGTGTTTTCAGAGAATTTTGTGAAGATTCCGCTTCTGGTTTTAATCGCCACACATCAACGTTATCTGCCTGACACCAAATCTGGTTCATGGCCTCCGCGACCCGTCCTGATTGCTGCCATGTGCTTTTCCCGAGAACCAGCTTTCATCTGACGCTTGTATCGCGTGCTATCGCAGTCAGCGCCCACACAACAGGCCGCTCTGAGTCTCGATTTCTCGACCGCCCGCGCTCGCGTGCCGGGCTCGACGGCGCCCCCAGCTGCATTGCATTGACCTGTTTGACCATAGCGTCGCGGCAGACCGGCCGCCGCGACCACTTTCACTCGTGCCGGCCGTTTTCGCCGGGCGCCGTCGGATGGCGCTAGTGTCGGCACCGCTCGTGATAAGCGACTGCCGAGCAGCGGCGTTGCTCCCGCACAGTTATTGAGCTCTGGCGCTGCTCCGGGCTGTATAGGTCGGGTCCGCCGGCCAGCTCGGAGCGTGGCCTGGACGGCTTCCTGGTTGGGCAACGCCTGCTGACGAACACTACTCCTCCGAGGCCGCGACCGGTCCGCGCCGACCTCTCGAAAGACCCGTGCCATGGCACGAGGAGCGGTTGACGGGAAGCGCAGCCCACCGGACAGGCGCACCCCGACGGGACTCATTGAGGGTGGGGCCAGTACGTCTGCACATCACGTGTTACTCAACCAAGCTGGTTGACTCAGAGCGCACAAGATAACGTGGTTTTTATCATGCCATAAATGTAAAACTGCCGTCGGATGGCCACCACCCTATGAAATGTTTCGCGCCGCCGCCTTTAAGCTAGTAAAACAGGCTATAAATTTGACGTTCAAAATGCAGCCCTGAGCCAAAGCCTTAGCAGAATGAGTGAACTAGCAAGAATAGCAAGATAATTCGAAATCGTTCCTTCTCACACACTTACTGGAGACGTCGGTCAACGCTCTCTCTGCCACACGAACAATGACGGGGAAATAACCAGTGCGATCTGGTTTGAGAGCCGAGAACTGGACAGCGCTCTCACCAAGCTCAGTAGAGCGACCCTTCTCCGGTTCCAGTGAAACTCGCTCCCTAATATCGATATGGATTGGGATATACCATTAGTGCCGCTCCTTGACTGGACCATCGACAGTCAAGCGCGCATTGTCAATCTGTGCGGAAGTGTCTACACGGATGCTAGTTTTCTACAGACAGTTTTGACAAACCGCTCCAGCACCCCAGCCTCACGGTATAGCTTCGCGACTCAACGATGGACTTTCGCCCCACACCAAGTGTCGCACTGCCCCTCCCGCAACGACACCATCCCCTGGCCGTCTGCAGCAGGCCACCTGTCAGACGGGTTGAACGTGCGCAAGACACCAGCACCGAGGCGCGATCTCCAGCCTTCGCGTGGAGCCCCTGCCTGACGCAGGCGCCGTACTCACCCCCTGTGCGTCGGTAACAAGCTGTCTACCCTCGGGCACCTCGGGCGTCGGCTGCGAGCTAAGACGGCTCAGTTGGCGGGCCTCGGTCTCCTGTGGCTTCGTCAGCGTCGCACGTCTCGTGCGAGACACCGTCTCCGACCCCGAGGCCGCTGCAGACACGTCCTGCTTCTCCTCCGAGATGACGGCCTTGACCTGCGGTGGGGGGGGGGGGAGGGGGGAGATCAGCGCAGGGTGGACGTGTGGGCGGGACCCGCCGTCACCGACTGAAGGCGCACAGGCGTACCGGGTCCGCGCCTGGCAGCGTAGACACTGGAAAGCGAACCAGTTCTGGACAGCTGGTCGCATGCGTCATGTTTTTGTCGCGTTTCAGGACAGCTTTGGTAGGATTATCTGTTTGAGTCTTTCTTTGCTGTTTGTTTTGTTGTGCCGATCATAAAGGTGTGATCAGTTTTCTCCCACATTACCCGCTAGTCTCGTCCCGGTTGAGAATTTGCTGATGGTGAACAAAGGTGTGGTGTGGCACATGGATGAGAACAGACGAGGGGGACACGATCAATGTCTCCCAGTGACTCCTTACGAGCATCTGTCAGCAATGTCACCGCATGGCAGTCCATGAGCCACCACATCCTCGTCTCATCCTTCTCGGGCCAAGACAGCTCATCATGACGACACCCCCCTGACCGGCGCCATCCCCCCCCCCCCAGCGACCCTCCATCTCCAGATCCCTTCCCCCCCATCGTAACCGAGCTGCCGCGAGCTGCCTCTCTGGCCCGCGTGACCCTCCCCCACCCCACGCCACTGAGCCTGCCTTCCTATGTGACTCTATGTCCCTGTCTACGCGACCTGGCGTGGCCAGCCCGCCCTGTGACGCACCTGGGCCAGGATCTCGTCGCCGTCGAGACTCTTGGCGACGCGCGCCAGTGCGCTGCCGTTGCGGAAGTTGGCGCGCGGACTGATGACGCTAAGGTCGACAGTGCCGCGGCCAGCGCGCGCCGACACCACGTCTACGGCGTCGCACGCGTAGCGCGGCACGCACACGCAGTTCTCGCGGTAGTAGAGCGAGCCGAGTCCGCTGGCGGGCCTGCCGAGGCTGGCCGCGCCGCCGCCGCCGAAGCCGCCGGCGAGCGTGGGGTTGGTGAGGCCAGCGCCGCCACCGAGGCCGCCCGACACCGGCCGGTTGGCGATCTTCGTGACCCCCGGGCCGAGGTTGGAGTTGACGAACGCGCCGCTGTTGATGGAGGCGATGCCCAGCTCGGGGCCGCGGTTGACGCCGGCCAGCAGCGGCGTGTAGGTGGGGGGATAGACGGGCAGGCTGACGTCGATGGCCTTGCCCGGCCGGCCGGGCTCGATGTGCGTGTGGTGGTGCGTGTGGTGATGCTCCTGCACTGGGCGCCGGCTGGATCGGCGCGTGACTCACCGTCACATGGCTGTCCTTGCCGTGGCTGTCGTGGTCGCCGTGGTGGATGTGCGTAACGTGGTCGTCGTGGCTTGTTGTGGCTGTCGTGGCTGTCGTGGCCGCCGTGCCGGACCGGCCCGTCCCGGTGGATGTCGTGGTGCGCCTTCGGCGGCGTGTAGTGACTGTTGATCGGCGCCGGGTACGCGCCCTTGGGCGGGCCGTAGCCGCCCTTCGGCGGCGGGTGGTACGCCGGCTTCGGCGCGCCGTAGCTGCTCTGCGGCGGCCCGTACGACGGCTTCGGCGGCGAGTAGTGCGAGTTGACGGCGGCCGGGTAGCCGCCGCCGTGGACGGGCGGGGGGCGGAGCGGCCCGAGAGGCGCCGGGCCGACCGGCGCCGAGCCGAGCGGCACCGCCTGCACCGGCGGGCCGTGAGCCGCCAGGCGCACCGGCTGCACGAGCAGCACGTTACCCGGCGGCGCAGGAGGCGGGTACCGCGGCGGCGGCGGGTCGTCATCACACTGTGGAAACACCAGAGGCGGTGATCAGCCGCGCACAGTGAGCACGTCACAGGCCGGCCTCATGTGGAGTAGTTGTCGCTCGTCTGACATCAGATTGACACGACATGCCACGAATACACCGTGAATGGCTTCTTGGGTCGTTGCGGTAGTGTATTTATGCATCGCTAAATCGTGCGAGGCGTCACGCTACTAAAACAGCTTCAAACGTGACGTCGGGGTGGAGGCTACTCGGACATCAGTCAGTCGCGTATGGCATATATGTAGTGAGGTTTTCAGCCTATTTCGCGCAGTTTCAGAGCACGTCATCTTCCACAATAACGGCCCTCTCCCCGTGATCGGCATACGTCACTTCCGATACCTGGCTAGCGGAGCTCACTCCCTCCCCCAGGCTACGAGGATCGCCGACGGGTGGCACCGGTCACTCACGTCCACCAGGCCGAGGAAGCACAGCTTGTTCCTGATGAAGGAGCGCGCCTGCGTGTCGTTGCCGGCCTCTAGCGCCGCCTGTACCTCCGGGTCGTTGTAGATCTCGTCGTAGGTCTCCGAATCGATCGCCTTGCCCCCGCGTGAGGAGTCTAGCGCGGACTCTGTTGGCGACCCGAGGCGGATAGTGGATGCAGCCAAATTCGTCGTTCCAGGGGCGAGTGGGATTAACATCCATGACCACACGGCAGGGTCAAAGGCATAACATTCAACAGACTCAAATTGTCAAATAGATTCGACAGACTCAAAACCTGAGAGTATTTACTAGTGATTCCTCAGACCATCATGGAAGAAGGTTCACGTCTAAATATCACGGAGCCTTTGCCCCTTCGCTCCATCTAAGCCTTGCGTATGGGTCTCCCACTTCTGCCCAACACAGAAACAGGACAGATTTACTTGCTCGGATGTCGTTCCACAGAATGAGTTGGGGAGAGGGAGTGAGGGGCTATAAAAATTACGAAACCTCACCTCCAAATAAGTATGAAGATATTTCATGTGTTCAGAATTTAACGCCGTCGACGTCGGTACAAGTCACCTGAACCCGCTACCTGCTGTTACTCACCGGCCACGAAGTCTCCGGAGGTGCCCTGACCACCTTGGCCTGGGGCAGAGTGTCAGGCGGCTCCGTGAAGGCCACGAACCCCTCTTCGTCGGCGGTCACCTCCTCCACTGGCGCAGCGGCCGGCTCGGTCGGCTGCGCTGGCGCCGTCTTCACCGCCTTGCTGGTGCGACCCCACACCCACTCGGCCGACGCTCCGCCGTTGCCTAGCAACAGCAGGGCGGCCAGCAGGCCAACGCTGCGCGGCTGCATCGCGACACTCCTGGAGGGAGGAGCGGAGTGAGTGAGAGGCGACAGACGTGGGGAGGGGAAGGAGGCCCCATAATCAGAGGCCCCTGTTCGTTCGTCCCATGAATATGAACCCTGTTCATCCGTCCCCTGTCAGCGCTATTGAGCGGGGGGAAGGTGTTAGAGCTGCCAATGTGCTGTGGCGGTTCAGATACTGTGAGAGATTGCTTCCGCTCTTGTGAGCTAAATTCCGAACTTATCGTTACCTGCACAAAACAGTCTTTGCAAACTGCGCTCTGAACTTTGAACCACGCGAGCCGGATTACCAGCATCGGAGCTGGCAGGAGCCGCTCCGGTGGCCCCTAGTACGAGCAACCAGTGGAACGGGATTGAGTCACCCCGGAACGAAACGTGACTTCTCAAAGCCCACGCGATAGAAAGCAAAGCCGGATGCTGGCATGTGGCCACCATTCTGAGCGTCACTGCCGCACGCGCCAATGGCCAGGCGCTGCAGGGCTCCCCCACCGGGCGGGTCTCGACGTAGACGGCCGAGCCAGTCAGGTGTGCTGTATTGTATCATACGGCAGACACCCGCGTGCCTTGCTCCAGATCACATTGCGGCACCCGTCTCTCACGGTGTGTGCTCGCTCTCGTATTGCAAGGCATTGACCGGGCGCTCTGCAGAGGTCAGCCCAGTGGCGTCCCGTGTTCGGAACGCAGGTCAAACCCACGGGTCAAACCCATGGGTCAGACCCACGGGCGAAACTCAGTGGTCAGACCTACGGGCCAAACCTGCGGATCTAACCCACGCGTCAAACCCACGGATCTAACCCACGCGTCAAACCCACGGTTCAAACCCACGGGTCTAGCCCGCGGCTCTATCTAACCCGTGGCTTCAGTCCGCGGGTTCGGCTTGGCCGGCCCGGGCCGCCGGAGAAAGTGACTGTGTCTGCCCGTGGCGAGCGGCGCTAACTCGCGGGGGCGACAGCTGACCGGCTGCCATATGTGACGTCACAGCTGCGGTTTTCGCGATGATATCACAGCGCCAAGAGCCCAATAAACCTTGTTTGTGTCGGGTTATTGGCCTCCGCGTTAAGACGTAATCTCCACTGTGCAATAGCTGGAAATGTGAACAATGAACACAGGGAGGATTGAGATCTACATGCCAGTGGTTCATTTTTGGTCGTCTGCGTGACGAGTCAGCAGCTCGGGATAAGTCCCAATAGAAAAACACGTCGAATGACGCCCTCTCTGCAAAATGAGAAAGCATCTCGCTGCTTACCATGGCATTTTGACATTGCGACATCATAATGTACAAATGCAAATTTTGCGCGTCACTATCAATGCGGCGATAAATTTACAGATTATCAGGTTACACTCGCGCAACCAAGCTTCTCCATTGCATAATGGTCAGCAGCGTGAGCCATGAAGGTCGCTGCTAGGCCAGGCTCGACACGTAGTGAGCTGCGCCAGGCTTGTGGTCGTTACTCACCCTGGCTCGAACGAGGATCAGAGGCCCCTGACCTGGTTTATGCTGGCCTGCCATTAAAGGTGGTGAAATGATGTCGCATTCGGCGTGGGCCGTGAGGAGCTCGTCTGGGATTATCTACATACTGTTACTGGTTAAAAGGGGATTTTGTGTGATAAGAAAATGCCATTGGGAGAAAGAAAACTTGAAATAAGTAACATCGTTTGTTGCACATACTCAGTGGCATCAAACTTTGATAATGGGTTTCCAACCCATTGCATCGCTCAATATTGCCAGCTGTTCGTCGTGGTGGTCTCTCAAGCTTTAAGCAATTAAGATGAATTGGTGTCAGTACAAATTAGTTTAACAAGATCCAGAAGCCACTGCTAACCGAGAAGCTGGATTGAATAAGAAGAATGCTGAGTTTGCTGTCCTTCCCTCAAGTTTTCAGTTAAAGGTTTCCCATCCCACAAACATCCCGCATGAGTTTCCCTGTCATTCTGAGACTCTCTCCATTCAGTCTGTAACCAATGACCCTGTTTAAGATAGCGTGCACTGTGTCTGCGTTTTACAACCAACAATTTGCATAGCGCCGCCGCGCCATAAAAGCACCGGCACCGCATGCACAATACGAGGGGCCGACGAGATGCGGCAGGACTGCCTGTGATGCGGGCGTCTCCTCCCACCGCCATGACCATGAGTGTTCTGCACAATCTCTCTCCGGCGCGGTACCACGAGCCTCCCGCGTCCTCCGCGTCTCCCGCGTCTCCGTGTCTCCCGCGGCGGCGCAGCGGGGACACGGAATGGTCGGGCGGCGTCGTGTCTGGGCCCCAGCCGACAGCACGCGGCGGTTTCTCCGCTGCGAGGGGCGACGCGTCACGTGGTCGGGTGACGATTTCGTGGCGCAGCTGCGGCGAAACGCGCCGTGAAATGGTAAACCTGCGGTGCTGATGCGGGTGTGTGTGTGAAGGTGTGCTGACGGCAGGCCCGGCTCCAGACAAGCGTGACCAGCGCGGTACTAATCTGACGTCCGCTCGGCGGCGGGGTAGCGGAGGCGGGAGGGGGGGGGGGGGGGGGCGACGGCGCTTGTTAATGCTGGCTTATTGTGTTTATGCGTGGGAGCGTGGAGAGGTTTCAAACAGGTTTTCATCAGGGTAGCTCGATGCCAAGAGACTGTGGATGAGCGGTGATGATTCATAAATTTTTCAGAGAATTGAATATACAGTTTTGTATAGGGTGAAAACAATTGACAGGTATCAGTGAAGTTCGACTCATGACGTCAGAGCCCTTTGCATCTCAAATGCAACACCTTAGAGAATCAACAACACAACAGTGCCAGGCTCGTGAGTAATCCGAGCCCGTGTATGGAGTGGTCCGCGTGTTCGGCGCGCCTGGTTCTCTCCGAGCCAGACGTCATGCGGCGGCGATAAGCCGCCGGCGAAACCCGGCCGGCGCCGCTGCGGTCTCGGCAAGGGATCGGACGGCGCCGTGGGGACTGCAACGCCACAGGAAGCTAACATCAGCCCGCCACGGCAGCCGGCGCCGAGCGGGGACTGCAGCGTCGTGCCGACGAGTGCCCCGCTAGCACTACCAGCGGCTGGCCCGCTAGCGCTACCAGCGGCTGGCCCGCTAGCGCTACCAGCGGCTGGCTGGTTCTGGGTGCGCTGACTGTGCAAATGTCACCCTGCCCCTGCCCCTACCCCAACCTCCCGGGTATGTTTCCCCGCCGGCGGGAGAGCCCGCGACGGAGAGAAATCTGGGCGGCCGGTGCTGACGCTAAAGCGATATTGCCGGGCGCGGCGGTCGGGAGATAAACGGCGTATGTACAACCAAACGTATGGGGAAACTAGAGGTAGGCTTGCTCCGTACCTCGGAAAAGGTGAGCCCTGGTCACTCCGTGTTCCAACTGGTGAGAGTACAGAATTTCATCACGGTGCCGTTGCCGGACATGCGCATCTACACCATCTGGAATCTAATTTCAAATTGGTTCGGACATTTCGAGAGAAAACCATGGCTGCAGCCGGGGAGGGGGGGGGGGGGGGCGGGTCGGGGGGCGTAGGGAAAGTATGAGATACTGCAGGATAAAGTGCGAACGGCGAGCAGCATGAAATGTGCACGCCGGAAAAAAAACGCCCAGTACAATGCATGTTGCGTTACCACATTATCCGGGCGGAGGCAGGAGTTGCACAATGCGGTCATAGTTTTATTTTGTAGGCGAGCCAAGTGGAGTGATTTATCTTTCCAAACATAAAGGGGTCTTGCAACACGCCTGACTTGGTCAACTCGTGCAAATCTCCTCCCTGCAGCTTGTCTAGCCCGTCTATCCCAGCTAGTGAGCCCCCAAGGTCGCCCGGTAAGCGGCCGTGCTGCGCGGCTACACACGATCCCGTTATACGGCTGTAAGGGTCGCCTCGTGCCGTGACGTCATACTACCAACTGTCAGGTAGTACCTCCGTTTACGCCGGCTATCTGTTCGGAGTATTGAGGCTGGCACTGAGGAAGCTTATCCTCTCATGCAAGACATAAAAATAATGCAAAACCCCCTGGCCAAGAAAAGAAATCAAGGCGGACAAACAGATGTCTTGATCGGCATCGCACGGTGCAATTATCATTTATCAGGTGGCAAATATTGGAGTGATTTCTGGGCAGTTGGTGCTAATAACATACAGACTGGATCCTTTACAGGACGTTGCCAAGCACTCTTGAGCTGGAGCACCTGCTGCCAGATAGGCATGCTGTGCTGTCCAGCGATATTGTGGCTACCGTAAAGATCATGACCGCCAATGCCTGTTGGCAAAATTAAACAAAAACGGGAGGTTTTTGAATTGGCAAAGGCTGCACAGTTGGGCTGAAGATATCGTTGCGTTTTAAGGTCACACGGTTCATATCACTTGGATTCAGTACTAAGGCAGTCACCGTGAACGAAGCAATGCTATTCTGATGCACGCAATGATTGAGAAAATCACTTTTGGAGCAAGAGCATGACATTACATTTGCTCAACGGCCATGCCCTGGCGTTATATACATCTGCCGCCGAACCCCATTTTCACGTACTCCACATCGACAGGTGCTGATCACCGGTGGCGTAAATCCTGCTGCACCACTTAAGAAAACTCTTCGACTGTCGTGTACTGAAGGGGACACGAAATGTTCATGGCATGGAATCAAAATTGTTATTCCTCCCCGTCCAAGCAACGATGTATGAAGCGTATTACGTGGCACGTAACTGATTTTAATGCTGTCATTAAATTAGATAACTAACTTTCAAAGCCATTTAAACAAACAATCAAAAGCAATCAGTCAACAACTCTCCCATTGCGGATCCTTAAGACACATTTGTC